TAAGCCAATCTTCTAGTTTTATTATTCTATAATCTACAAATAGGCAAGTTACATGTTTTATCTTAGCCATGACATGGCTATCTTGCTAAGTGAACTTTACAAAAGTTCGGAAAAAAAAAAAAAGAAAATTAACGAGTAATAATTTTTACCCCCGAGCTTAACTTGTGAAACCAAAAATTCAGAAACGATGAAATCAAATAAATGTAAATTTTCAATAATTAAATCATTAATTTACTCTCTAGTTAATGTATGTACATATCTAAAGAGAGATTTAAAAAAAAAAGAGAGAGAGAGAGAGAGAGGGGACATATTTTCTGAATGAGATTGTGGATTGGGCTACCATTGGAATGGGCTTTATTTCTGCTTTCACTTTAAGTAAAGCGGGCCTCGATTCAAAGACCAAGAAGTTCAATTTTTTTTTTGGTACAGATGAGGGGTAAGGCCCGAGATCGAAAACTAGACCAGAGAGTCCACAGGACCATATTATATTATCCATAATCAGATTGTTTATAACTTTAAATATCAAATCGGAAAATCTTAGTATTTTAAAAATATTTTTGCAGTAATTTATCTGAAAAAAAAAATCTATAAATTTCTAACAACTACATATAACAGGGGATACCTTAAATTTCCCGGCCTTAAAAAAAGGGATACCTTAACCTTGTGATGATGTAAATGACCAAAAAATATTAGAGAAAATTAGGATAAATCTCTTATTACAAATTTAATTGGCAAATAGTCACTAGGATGATTGATTGCACGAAGAAAGATTTATTGCACACAAAATAAGATAAGTTGCACAAAGAAAAAATAGTTTGTACAAAACATTATTTAGATATAAGAGATTAGTTTGCACATAGGGAAGATGATTTGCACATAAGAGAATTTTATTTGCATAAAAGAAAATTGAGTTGCACACCACACAAAAGAAAATTATTGCATACAAGGAAAGTTAAACTGCACAAAATAGAAATTAAATTACACAGAGTTCTTAGGTCTTATTTGTCGATTAAACTTTCAATTAGAGATTTATCCCCAATTTTTCTTTTCCTTTTTTCCTTCTTTTAGGGTGTTAAACCTTGGACCATCACTGAGACAACAATTTTACCCCGCTTAAGAACTTTTGCAAGCGATCGATCCCTGAATGAATTTAATTTACTTAAAAAAAATTAAATAAATTAAAGGTCACTGTTTTTGACATCTTTAGATTTTCCCCACATAATTGATGAGCTCGCGCGGAGTTTTACCTTTATCTGATGAGTTACACTAAAATTTCTTTTACATTTTTCTTTTTTTAACTTTCCAAAGAAATTATACCCGCGGATTCTGGAATGTTGGGACACCTTGTATTTTATTTGTTTGCTGGATTTGTCCTCTGGTGCTGTGGTATGTTTGTGTGTTATTAAGTAGCATTTGGCTGTTTTCGTGCCTCGTGTATCCTTTAAATCCAACGGCGCAAATGGCCCCATGAGAACCCGGGTTAAATGGCTAAACAACCGTACGATGAAAGCCACGTCATCTGGGCCCACGTAGATTATTATGGGACCATGTTTAAGATTTCTCACAATAATTGGGTATTATAATTCGTGACCCGTCACTACCACGACCACCGCCCCACACAACACTGACTCGAACCCCGAAGCGCCGTAGCCGGAGGGCGGCGGTGTCTGACCTAAGAATGTCGTCACGCGCGATCCCCAACGCCCTCGATCCACGCGCCCGCCTCTTTACCCCTTTCCCCTTCCCCCCAACACCATTCTCCTCGTTGTTTTCTTCGGCTCTTTCTTTTAAAACGGGAAAATAGTTGGCGTGCTTTTTTATTCATTTTTTATTTTTTGCCAGAAAAGTCAACTTCCGTACAGAGGCCAAATCAAGCCCTCCCGCGGTTCAGTTCCGGTCGGGTTGAACCGAACCGTCATGGGTCTGCACATGCCCATCCATCCATCAATCACGTGGAAACCAGACCACGGATCATGAACAAGTGTGTCACCATCTGCAATGAGTTTCTGTGTTGTCTTGGCAGCTTTCAGCTATCAAGGTCATTTTTTTCAAATTTTTTTTTTTAATTTTCAGTTTCACCCCATTTAAACTAAAGATTCAAACTTTATGATTATATGTACGTGATTCGATTCCGAAGTGGGAGAGGGATCGGTTTTGGCCGACCCGGTTCGGATTACGAAGGAGGCACGAGAGGGACAGCACAGAACAGAGAAACCGTGAGTTCCAAGCCAAAAGGGTTTGTTGCAATTACAAGCAAATCTGAAAAAAAGGACTTAACCACTCCCAAAGGGAGAAGATCATGGGGGAGAATTTTTTGCTTTTCTGGGGAATCACCATTAGAAAGCGCCTTGAGAACTAGAATTTTAAAAAAAATGACAATTTTAAAATAAAAAAACAGTGACGAGGGAATATTGGAAATTGGGGAATGCAGAAGAGATGGGCCAATGAAGAATATGAGAAGGGAATAGAGAGAGAGAAGGGGTTCGCAGAGAAGACCTCAGCATGCAGATTGAAGAGATGATTTGATATAAAGCCTGCGAGAGATGCTGTGTTTCTCAAAATCCGAGCATCATGTGTCAACTTCTCATTGCAAAAATCTATCAATCTCTCTCTCTCCCGCCTACTAGCATCATCATCTTCCACCTCCTTGTTGTGTTTCTGGTACTGATGGATAAAATGGGACTGGATTAGATAGATGGGATGGCTGAATAGATTCATGCATGTTAATTCAACCCCACATGGCTCGCTGGGGCTTAGCTTGCTGGCATCCAATATGTATAATCCAACCCCTGGGTGAAACCCCCCCCCCCACATGTTTTTGAACTTGCAGAAATATTCAGCTTTTCATGGATGTTTCTCTTTGGTCCAACATATTGCTTGGCATGATTCTACCCTGTGGCAAAAATAAAAGGAGAGACGTTTGTGAGTCTTTAAAAGTTTGATTATATCCAATGTCTTGGCTGTGTTTGATGGATTGACCATGGGGATGTAAAATCAATAAATCAACCTCAGCTACACGTTCTGTTGCACCTTTTCATGGCCACATATGCATAAAATCAAAATATACCCACTTTCAGTAAGTGTTCTCCGAATGGTCGCCACTCACATGTTAAACCTAGTGCTTCGGAACATGCCACATTATATACTGATACCTACTTGAGATTAGATTGTGGAAGAGCGATTATTCTTTAGTTTTGGTTGTATTCACATATCAGTACGGTAGGAGCTCTGAGATATTCTGGTAGCATTTACTTGTTTCTCTTTCTGCTATTTATTTTTGAATTCTTGATATCAGTTTATTTTTTGTATTACTTGGCAGTGATAATCCTACAATTTTAGTTCTATTCCCTTATCAGTACAATACAATAGGGTTTCTGATATGATATCCCTTTCAGTATTAATTTGTTTCTCTTTCTTATGCTATTGGTTGCCAGCCTCTTTTATTACCAGCATCATGACTTACATTTGAACAGTTAAATGGATCAATCACAAAGAATTGATATGTCAATCCTGCTCATTATCATAGTTTCCTAGATCGAGTTGCTCAGAAGTAAGATACTCTCTTAAAAGATTTTGCTGTTTAGTTTATTGAGCGTCATGGTTGGGTTGTACGCTTGACCAGGTAAATAAGAAAAGCCTCAGCAAAACAATGATACACTTTGTACTTAAAACCACAGGAAAATAAAAAGCTACGGTCTTTTGAACCTGAAAGTGAATTTAGCAAAGGATGGTTTGGCAAAACATAATGCCATCCTGGGAAAGGAAACTCAAAAAAGTGATGGTTAAGCCTCTATTTACTGTGCAGCGATGCATTTCGGTTTGGCGTTTTGGGAGAGATCTATTTGTCTTTTACGTCACAGTTACATACTGGTGTCACGCATCATTTGTACCCAAGTTTCCTGTGTAAACTAGCAAAAGCAACTGTTTAGAACAGAGATAAAAAAAGTGAAACCTTTATTATTAGATGAGGTTTTTTCCCCCTTCAACAACCGAATTGCAGTTCTCAAGTAAGTTCGGCTTAAGAGATGCCAAAACTCATGACACCAGAGGAACAAATACCCAGAAAGAGAAATGATCATCAGGTATCACAGATATATTAAAAAAAGGAGAATTTTTTTAACGAGTGGGTGAGAAACCTGAGGCATGAGTACTAAATTCTGCAGAAAAATAGGAGAAAGAGAGAGGGGTGGGAAGAAAGAGGAGGAAGGAAGAGTATGGAGTGGGCGTGTAATAAAACACGGCTAGGTGTTGTTCTGTTTATTTAATTTCCTGTACTGTGCTGACAGAGAAGATATGAAACAGCTTTATGGATATAGATACATGGTGAAAATCTCTCTCATTTTTTTATAGGTTATTTTTTAGCAGGATACAAAGACTGCTGTCCATTCAAGTCCATCATATTAGAATATAATTTTTCTTATGATAGGGTACTAAAGCAAAGGATAACCTCTTTTTTTTTACTGTATACAATTAATTTAACTTGGTTATTTTAGTGTTTTCCCCCCTCATTTTTCAATATCTCACAGCAAAAAGATCTCTTGTTTTCTCGTTAAATAAATCTACTTTCTGTTCCTGCATTTCATGTTTCTTCGCTGACAGAGGAATAGCCGCACACTTCCTCACACACGCACGCATACTCAAAGCCAGAAAAGCCCCACTCCCCTCGCCCTCACCCCTACACTATGCATCACCCTGTCATTCTCTCTCTAGCTATCTGGACTACTATGACAAGGACCATGGCAGGGTAATGAGAGAAAGAGAGAGAAAGAGATCAGAATAGGACAGAAAGCACAGAGATTACAGAGATTTTACAAACCCATTACCATCGTTATTATTTTGCCTTTTTCCTTCCTTCCGTCTGATTCATCAAATCCCCATGAACCAACCCTTATGATGATATTATATAAACCTCACCCCCCATGTGACTTCCCAATTCTCAGCCTCGCTTTCTCCCTTAGAGCAGAGAGTTCCTCGTTCACTAGGCTATTTTCAGTTCTTCGATGGAGAGCTATTACCCCTCCGACAACAATGATGCTCATTTGCCTCCCGGCTTTCGCTTCCACCCCACAGACGAAGAACTCATCACGTACTACCTCCTCAAGAAAGTCCTTGACAATAGCTTCACTGGTAGAGCCATAGCTGAAGTTGATCTCAACAAATGTGAGCCATGGGAGCTTCCAGGTAACTAACACCTAATGCTACCTCTCTTCATCTTTCGTTTTGGTCCAATCTTTGCCTATGCAACTATTGAACCTGATTTCTTTTTCTAGCTTTATGGGGCGCAATATTTATGAGCTTAAACTCATTTTTGTTTGGCAGAGAAAGCGAAGATGGGAGAGAAGGAGTGGTACTTCTTTAGCTTGAGAGATAGGAAGTACCCAACTGGGCTAAGAACTAATAGGGCTACAGAAGCAGGATACTGGAAGGCCACTGGGAAAGACAGAGAAATCTACAGCTCAAAGACTAGCGCTTTAGTGGGGATGAAGAAGACTCTTGTGTTTTACAGAGGAAGAGCTCCAAAAGGCGAGAAGAGCAACTGGGTTATGCACGAGTATCGCCTTGAAGGCAAATTTGCCTACCATTACCTCTCTCGCTCCTCCAAGGTACCTATCTCTACTTCATCTTCCTGTCTAACTCTTCGTGTACTTGCAGATGCTTATCGTTTTACAGTGTAGAAAACTTTAGCTGGCTAGGTGCAACGTGGCTTTCTGTGTGAACTTCTCTTCATGTTGAAAGATCTTCGCTTTTTCAGTTTGTTTTTGGTTCAGTCTTCTGCTAGCTAGGGCTTCGTACTTTTCAGCCTCATAACGGTACCATAACATGAGTTATTTTGCTTCTACGGCATAATATTTATAAATAATTAACCAAAGGGTCTTACTATTAACCACTGTTTCATGCTGCTGCACCAATGTTAAAACTTTATGGCTTCATTTATAGATGTTTCTCTCTGCTGCTAAAAACTAGAAGATCTTTGAAACTTAACAGTGAGATTTTACTTGCAGAGATACTGTGGTACAGTTTGTTATTCTATTCACGGCAAAGCTTGCCTTTATAGATAAACCTACTCCTCGGTTGTATTGTTTATTAGTTTTTAGTACACTTTAAAGCTGTTTATATTCTGATAATGTCTTTCAGTTTTTACTGATTGGTCATGTATTAGCAGGCGTTCACCACTCACGTGTGCTAATTTTTTTCGAAGTGAAATAGTTTGTTTCCGAAATTCTTTTTGTCAAATGTCTTGTAATGGTTCTATGTTTTGTCATGATATAGGATGAGTGGGTCATTTCCCGGGTGTTCCAGAAGAGTGGCTCCGGCAACGGCGGCTCCGCCACCATATCGTCATCTTGCAGTGGCTCGAAGAAGACCCGAAACATCATGAGCTCTTCTTCTAACTTGAGTCTCTACACAGCTGAGCCCAGTTCTCCCTCCTCCGTTTACCTTCCGCCTCTACTTGATTCCTCACCGTTCACGGCCGCCGCCGCCAGTAGCACCGCCGCAGTCAACGATCGTGACAGTTGCTCTAACACTTACGACAGCCTGAATACCTCAAGAGAGCACGTGTCCTGTTTCTCCACAATCTCTGCCGCCGCCAGCAACAACTACAGCTTTGACCTGTCCGCCGCGCCGCTGTCTGTTACGGTGGACCCCTTGGCTCGTTTTCAGAGAAACGGGGGCATTTCCTTCCCAAGCCTGAGGGCGCTGCATCTGCAAGACAACCTTCAGCTTCCCTTCCTTATCCCGCCCCCGCCGCCGCCGCAGCAGCAGCAGCCCTTCCAGGGCGTTCCCGTCAACATGAATTGGATTACACCGGTTGACGATCAGAGGGTGGCGGACGTTAGCTCCGGCATGACCAGTTTGGGTGGCTCCGAGCTTGATTGCATGTGGGGATTCTAAGACTTTTCTCGATTGTAGGATTAATACTGAGTACTGAGTTAGCTTGTCTTATGTTGTCATCTAGGATTAGAAATCTATGTTTCTGTTAAGATGTATGCTTCGTAGACTACGGATTGACTCTAGGATTGGATTAGGGTAGCTGGCTTCGATCGTACTGCGTTGTTAGATTCAAAATCTCAGTCTGATCTACGTGAAACTATCAATGTTTACTATATATCTTATGTCTATGTTTACTGAAATGCTTCACATAATTCTCTAATCTATACGAATTCGGCGCATGTTATTGTCGTAGACAAACTTTCACTTAAAAATTTATGGGTAAACTTGAAATAAATCTATGCATTAATAGTTCGCAGAAGTTCACGCTACCAGAAATATTATTTCTTGTTGAGCCTATGATGTGATGTAATGTAATGGAAGATATGATCAGTTGGAGGATTTTATTGTTTTGTGATTATTAATGAAGTACTTAAAAGGCCAAAATTCATGTTTCGCATTGTACGCACGTAGTTAAGCTAATCCGAAGTGACACTTTTACATCCATTTACTTAAATAATTTAAAAGATTAGACACTTAACCAGCTTTAGTTAGTTATTGTTGAAGAATGAGATCACTTCCACTTTAATAATATTGGAAAGTGATGGCTTGCTGATTTATGCATCTCCCGTCAGATTGAGCTGGGTCTAAATCCATAAATATCTATTTTGTTGGAATTTTAATTTTAGTTTAATTTTGGTCAACCACTTCATCATTATTTGTCTGATGTCTAGATGTAATAAGCTCCTTATAAATATATACTCAAACCTGCCCCCGGCGGGGCTAAAAAGGTGACTGCATGTGATCTTCACTTAGCTAGGAAGTTGATATAATGTTCATGATTTTGATGTAGCAATGGCTTTCTTCAAATTCATCTTTATAATTTTTTTATACATCTTGGTATTTTTTTTCCTTTCTAGTATATAAATACAAATTTTTTATACACCTTTAATTTTGGCCAACCACTTCATCATTATTTGTCTGATGACTAGATGTAATAAACTCCTTGTATATATATACTCAAATCTAGGAGGAGGGGGTGAAGTTAATATAATGTTCATGGTTTTAGTGTAGCAATGGCTTTCTTCATATTCATCCTTATAATTTTTTATGCATCTTTCTACTTTTTTCTTTCTAGTATATAAATACAAATAATTAGAAACACACGAGAACTATATCATCAAGGAATTTTTTTTTTTACTAGCTTACTTTGTTTAGATTATATATATAAGATTGTTGTCAGAAAGGGGAAAAAGAGTGGGGGTGGGTGTGTGTAAGAGATTTCATGCATGCTTTGGATAAAAAGTACATGTATTTTGGTTTAATATTTTTCTTTGCATTATGGTTGTAGTCCTTGCATATGATAATGGAACTTTAAAGGTAATATGGATATTTTAACGTTTCATCAGCAACTTTTCGGCATGTCCTTGATATCATCTAAGATAACACTATTTGAAAACAACAAAAAGTGAAGGAATAATTAACCTTACATTAGTTTTTGGACTTATAACGCCAAATCGGCCACTTACTATTATTATTATTATTAATTCAACCTGAAGATAATAATGCAGGATGTAGCTAGCTAGTACTAGTTATGAGGACACGCCCCACTGTACAGGATCCAAACATGAAGATTATCAAATTGAGTGGTTGATAAGCATTTATGAGTGTTATGACATGTACAAACATATAAATCGTCAAAGTCTCAAAGACCACATTCAAATAAGGCTTATGTACATGTTAAAAGCTGAGACAATCCTGATCGCTGTATGTTGCTTTGTTGACTGTAACTGTTTCTTTCCGGTCAAATTTAATTGGATTCAATTATTCATATCAATTATTTTAGTTAAAGCACAATGCATGTGATGTAATAATAATGACTGTTTATGAATCATACTATATCAAACCAAGTCATACACACATATATATACATGAATGTGTATGTGTTACAATTATATAAAACAACACTAAATATAGTTTCTTTTGCATAATGCATGTTCAATATTGTTGGCCCAACATAGAATCCTAGGGTGGTTAAAATTACTTAATGCGAGACGGGTAAAAACGGTTGAGATATATACCTACTCTCTCAATAATCTTCTGGCTAATATATATGAGAGATTGTTACAGGTTAAATATCGAAAGTTATATAGTTGTCATTAATGTGATGAGGAGTAAGTGATGAGTCTCGTGTTTTTTGTTTTCGGAAAATATGATTAAAGCTTATGAGCCAGGAATACAAAATGAGATATAATTCCTAATGCTCCCTTGATTCTGAGATTTCTTTTGATTTTAGTTTACTTTGTCTCTTAAATTTATAACTTTTTTTCCCAAGTTATCCATATAGATTACATGTGTTAAAGGAGTTTTAGTAAGAGATAGTTCAAAAGCAATAATTAAATAGGATATTTTAAGAAAATAACCCAACTTATCTAGTTTTTCTTAATTTTTGTAAATTATCTGACTTCTATATTAGAAATCAGATAGAGTATTATCAATCTAATTCCTTGACATGAGGCGAGCTTGAGAGAATCACAATATACATTGATGGAAGCAATCTTATTATCTACACTTTTTAAAAAGGTCCAAAGAAATTAAAAGAGGAGGAAAAGGAAAGGAAAATGTCAAGAAGGAAATGCATCCATATATATACATAGAACCAATCAATAATTTATGCTCAAAAGCTATATTCGATCCAGTCTTTATGTTACTATAAATCACTTGATGGTATGTTAATTAAATCAATGGCCATGAGAACACACCAAGGAGTTCAAACTTTCATGTTTTGATCAAAACCAAAATGGAAGACACGATATAGGAGCTGTTTGGAAAAAATCAAAATCATAATTTCAAAAATGTTTTTATAGTATACAAGATAAATATATAGAGAAATTTGTTTCGATTTCAAAAAAAACTTCTCAAAAATATTTATTGAGTTATCCAAACATTACAGTAGTTACAAACACACAGACACACGGGTGAACAAGTCTCCATCATGATGTGCGACACCAATTCCAACATCACCAACCTTACCATTTGAAGCATCAAACATACCATCAAACATTAACTCTCGGCAGAATCCTCCACAGGAACGAAGCTTCCCACATTTCCTCACTACCTGACAAATCATCAACAGCCCTTCATTATTTAAACTCTACTATTACACTTATCAGTTTTCTCTCCCTCATTATTTGATCTTAAAACTGATCTCTCTCTCTCTCTCTAAAATGACTCTGGTTATGAATAAGAGTGACTTGCGTCAAATGCGGTGTTCGCCATTAATGAGCAGGGGAAGGCATGGTGGAGAAGGGATCGGGAAGGGTTAGCTGAAAGAGTTCACGTGGAGGTCAGGGTACTGAGTCTAGGGTTTAGAGTAGGTGAGTGGTGGTGTTGATGATATAATAATACTATTATGCAACTGTGCGTACTAAGGCTAAGTGCCTAACCCTAGCTACTTGTGGAAGGGGACAAATTTAATGCGCTCTCTTTTGACATTTCAGCCTTTTCCTTCTTCTTTTGGATTTAAGGGCACGTACACACGTAGGGGTATGGGACCCTATCTAACCCAAACCTATTTCTATGTTGTATATACGGGCATAGCACATGAGCAGCTCGTTAACTTTTTTAGGAAACCAGATTTATCATTTGGGTTTTTAGACAATTTTCAAGTGCTTTTATGTAACTAGTTTTCACTACGAGATTTTTCAACATTTTTCTCAAAAAAATATGCCTATAATTTATTTTTGAAACTTTTAAAAATTATTTTAACTAGAGTTGCTTACGATGCACAAAAATTAGGCAAGGGCGGGTTGACCATCAACTGGGTATAAAGTCTTTGTTCACTTCCTGACCAAAAAAAAAAGTCTTTGTTTACTTCAGTCCGATCATCTGGTCCTGCACAATATCTAATTAAGAATGGGTTTATTATTTGGGCTAGTTTCAAAGAAATTAATTTTTTAAAAAAAATACTTAATAAGCTCTTTTACACAGAAAATTACTTAAAATAAAAGCCCAGTAAAAAATATCCCCTAAAAGTTAGAAAATGTACCGTATCACAATTTTGTTAAATTAAAAAGAAAGGTGCATTTGTTGTGTTCTCGCGCTTTTTCGGGCACAAGCCTTTTTTATTTCTTGGCTATAAGGACTTGTACAGGATAGCAGTGAAAATCACTTATAAACATGTTTTATATAAATCGAGATAAAACTCTTTTCATATATTTATCTTATATTTTGTAAATTTTAACTTGATTTCCGCGTTTCCTACTACTACTGTGAAAACATTAAACGCAGGGTCATTTGCCATCGTTTAACTTTTTATTTTTTTGGGGATCAAAACCGCTGTTTAACTTTTGAGACCACAATAAGGGGATGTTTGGGTAAAATCAAAACTATGATTTCAAAAGTGCTTTTACGGTATATGAAATAAATATGTGGAGGAGTTTGTCTCAATTTGTAGAAAAATACTTCTGAAAAGTAATTATTGAGGTATCCAAATACCCCCTAAGTACCCAGTCAAGAGTCAACTTATCAATTAATCAAGCATATGGCCAAAATCAAGTTTTGAAACTTTTAAAAAATTATTTTAACTAGAGTTGCTTAGGATGCACAAAAATTAGGCATGGGCGGGTTGACCATCAACTAGGTGTAAAGTCTTTGTTCACTTCAGTCCGATCATCTAGGCTTGTACAATATTTAATTAAGAATGGGTTTGTTATTTGGGCTAGTTTCAAGGAAATTAATTTTTTTAAAAAAAATACTTAATAAGCTTTTTTACACAGAAAATTACTTAAAATAAAAGCCAAAGTTGGAAAATGTACCTTGTCACAATTTTGTTAAATTAAAAAAAAAAAGTGCATTTGTTGCGAATAAAAAGTCGCATTTCTCGCGCTTTTTTGGGGACAATTTTTTTTTTTTGGAGCCAAAAGGGTACAAACTTATTTTCTGCGTTTCCTACTCGACGGTAA